ATAAGGTGCGAAGGAATAAAATTTGCTCAGTTTAAGTTTATGCTTCTTCATTTTTCCTAGGTTCTTATTATTTAATCACTACCTATGGGGCAGTAGAGCTTATCAAAAGCTATGATAAGATCGCAGTCACTCGACAGCTAAGCACTGAAGTTCAAGATTCAATCCACCGCTGGGAGAGACGGAGAACACTTAACAAGGCCCGGGCATCTCGATCATCTGTTCAGGTTAGGAGAGCATGGATCTTTCGTTTTATGCATTGACCATCTCAGTCGGTTTTAAAAGAATTGCATATCTTCCCTGAGCAAAGTTTCCAGTAGAGTTTAAAAGCAGAAAGAGTTGGTAGTACTCTTTTTAAGACTTTAACAATTTTGTAAGGCATAAGCCCTAACAAGCAGAGCTTTGGGAAATAAATAAAACTCAAATTAAAGGAGCTGTGATGGCACAATGGTAAGAATGCAGTACTGCAGGCCAATTCTACTGACTGCCAGGGGTTCAATCTTCACCAGCTCAAGGTTGACTCAGCCTTCCATCCTTCCGAGGTCGGTAAAATGAGGACCCAGACTCTGTAAACCGCTTAGAGAGGGCTGTAATGCACTGTGAAGTGGTATATAAGTCTAAGTGCTATTGCTATTATAAAAACAATGGCAAAGACATTGAAGATCGAAACAGACATTGACAAACAAGGAAAATCTTTTTAAAGATGTTTGAATTCAGAAAAAGGTTTAGCACACCTTGAACTAAGCCAGTGGGCAGATAATAACCAAGTCAAAGGAGACTAAAGGAAGATGAAAGGAATATAATGAAGCATGCCACAGTATTGCGTATTATGGTAAAGATGTCAAAATCCAAGATATTTCAGAAGATATTCCTTATTTACAAGAAGCTCTAGTACTAGAAGATCAAGTTAGAACAGCTCTCTGGTCATTAACAGAGCAGAAGATTACAGGAATTGATAGAATGCCAGCCGAAAGAAGCATGCAACAAAAGAAGAATCAGTGAAGGCTCTAACCAGGCTATACCAACAATATCTGGAGAATGACAGAATGCCCAACAGACTGGAAGATAGGTCAATCTACATCCCATTTCCAAAAAAAAAAGGATGCTTAATAGAGTGTGCAAACTATTGTACAATATCCTTAATTCCACATGGTAGCAAAATAATGCTTAGGATCATCCAAAGCAGATTAGAGCTCTGCATGGAAAAAGAGATGCCAGATGTTCAAGCTGGTTTTAGAAAAGGCCAAGGAATGTAAGGCACTCTTGCTGATGCATGTTGGATAATTCAGAAAAAAGTACCAAAAACAAATTATGACGTGCTTCATTGATTATAGAAAGGCCTTTGATTGTGTCAATCATATCAAGCTGTGGAAAGTGCCCAGAAAAATTGGAATCCAAGAATATCTTATTGTCCTCATGATAAACAAATATATGTAGGCCAGGAAGCCACAGTATGGACAGAACATGTTGAAACAAACTGGCTCCAGATTGGCAAAGGAGTGTGACATGACTGCACAGTACACTCTCCCCTTATTTATTCAACCTATATGCTGAACATATACTAAGGAACGTTGTATCAGAAAACGCTAAGTATGATTTTACAACTGGAGGAAGACAACGACAAACTTAGACTAGATTGTAAAAGATAAGGATACTTCAGTGACAAAGGAAGTTAGAATAATTAGAACAATTCTATGGTACTATGTTGCTTTGGACAGTGAGATGGACAGCTTGTAAATTTAATAAAATAAAATGAAGACTGGCATTGAAAAAGAGTCAGAGAAAAGGATGGATGCTTTTGGATAATGGAGGTGGAGATGGTTCCTAAGAAAACATGGACTGCAAGCAGCCAATCAACGAGTCATGGGTCAAATAAAGGCCTATTGCTGTCCTCGAGGCAATGATCAGCAATAATCAGCAGAAAGATATATAATTGGCAAGATGATAGACTAGGAAAAAAGTGATCATAGTTAACTATATCAAAGGAATAAAAGGGGAACAATAGGGCTGCAATATTCTTTTGATCTGAAGGCAAATAGAGGTTAAGGTTCTAGCAAGAGTGCAGAGACGAGGAACAAAAATGATTAGAGCTCTCAAGGCGAAACTGTACAATGAATTATTGCAGAAACTAGGTATGTTTAGTCTAATAAAGAGAAGGATTGGGGTGTCATGATAGCAGTCCTCCAATATTTAAGGGGCTATCACAGAGAAGAGGGGGGTCAACCTATTGTCCAAACAATTGAGGGCAAGACAAGAAGTAATGGATGGAACATTATGGAAAAAAATCCAACCGAGAATTAAGGAGAAATTTCCTGACAATGAGAACAATTAATTATTGGAACGGCTTGCCTCCAGAGATTGTGGGTGTACTCCATCATTGGAGATTTTTAAAAAGTCATTGGATGGCCACTTGTCCAGAAAGGTAGAGGGGCTCCTGCTCAAGCAGGGAATTGAATTAGAAAAACTCCAAGGTCCCCTCTTTTTTCTGTTATTCTGTTAAAATCTGTGTGGAAACATGTTGCACCTGTCAGCAACCCCTTAACTGCATCTTTTCCTGGGGCCACGCTGCAGGTAGAAAGATTTACCCAATTTTGGGTAAAGATGGCACTGCTTCGAAGGAGTTTAGAGCACTTATGCAGTGCTTTTTTTGTAAAAAAAAAAAAAAAAAAAAGGTGCCGGAACTCACATCTTGTTAATCTTTTATTTAAAAAATTATATATTCAGTTCTTAACATAAATTTAATTTATTGTATTTAAGGCAAATGTTCATAGTAAATTCCAAAAATTTTGTCCAATTCTCATCCGGCAAATCTTCCCGACTCCTTTCCTTGCTGTTAGTATCTATGGCTGAATTTCGTTCTCTGAGTAACCACAGATCAACATACTTTGAAGGATCGAAAAGTCTCAGAGGTGGTCCAATAAGTTTGATGAACAAAAGTGCTGAAATTGTCTTAATCTTCAAGGAAGCTCTTGTTAGGATGGGCAATTAGATTCATCTGTGAAAACCCACATTCACATTCACTTGAAGAAATGGGAGTCTGTATCAAATGCAACAGTTTTTCTGGATATGTCTTTTTGAGAATGTATTCACAGAATCCACGAATCATTTCTCTTTCATTTAGTTGCAGTCTGGTTGACAAGTTTCTAATTTCCACTTCTCCATATGTCAGTTGAGTATTAACATGGGGCTCTCTACATGGGGCTCCCCTTGAGGAGCACCCGGAGGCTCCAGCTGGTCCAAAATGCGGCCGCGCGGGCGGTGTTGGGGGGGACTCGGCGTTCCCACGTGACACCGCTGCTGCGCGAGCTGCATTGGCTGCCTGTGGCCTTCCGGGTGCGCTTTAAGGTGTTGACTATCATCTTTAAAGCGCTCCATGGCATCGGACNATAAGGTGCGAAGGAATAAAATTTGCTCAGTTTAAGTTTATGCTTCTTCATTTTTCCTAGGTTCTTATTATTTAATCACTACCTATGGGGCAGTAGAGCTTATCAAAAGCTATGATAAGATCGCAGTCACTCGACAGCTAAGCACTGAAGTTCAAGATTCAATCCACCGCTGGGAGAGACGGAGAACACTTAACAAGGCGCGGGCATCTCGATCATCTGTTCAGGTTAGGAGAGCATGAATCTTTCGTTTTATGCATTGATCATCTCAGTCAGCTTTAAAAGAATTGCATATCTTCCCTGAGCAAAGTTTCCAGTAGAGTTTAAAAGCAGAAAGAGTTGGTAGTACTCTTTTTAAGACTTTAACAATTTTGTAAGGCATAAGCCCTAACAAGCAGAGCTTTGGGAAATAAATAAAACTCAAATTAAAGGAGCTGTGATGGCACAATGGTAAGAATGCAGTACTGCAGGCCAATTCTACTGACTGCCAGGGGTTCAATCTTCACCAGCTCAAGGTTGACTCAGCCTTCCATCCTTCCGAGGTTGGTAAAATGAGGACCCAGACTCTGTAAACCGCTTAGAGAGGGCTGTAATGCACTGTGAAGCAGTATATAAGTCTACGTGCTATTGTTATTATAAAAACAATGGCAAAGACATTGAAGATCGAAACAGACATTGACAAACAAGGAAAATCTTTTTAAAGATGTTTGAATTCAGAAAAAGGTTTAGCACACCTTGAACTAAGCCAGTGGGCAGATAATAACCAAGTCAAAGGAGACTAAAGGAAGATGAAAGGAATATAATGAAGCACGCCACAGTATTGCATATTATGGTAAAGATGTCAAAATCCAAGATATTTCAGAAGATATTCCTTATTTACAAGAAGCTCTAGTACTAGAAGATCAAGTTAGAACAGCTCTCTGGTCATTAACAGAGCAGAAGATTACAGGAACTGATAGAATGCCAGCCGAAAGAGGCATGCAACAAAAGAAGAATCAGTGAAGGCTCTAACCAAGCTATACCAACAATATCTGGAGAATGACAGAATGCCCAGCAGACTGGAAGATAGGTCAATCTACATCCCATTTCCAAAAAAAAAAGGACACTTAATAGAGTGTGCAAACTATTGTACAATATCCTTAATTCCACATGGTAGCAAAATAATGCTTAGGATCATCCAAAGCAGATTAGAGCTCTGCATGGAAAAAGAGATGCCAGATGTTCAAGCTGGTTTTAGGAAAAGCCAAGGAATGTAAGGCACTCTTGCTGATGCATGTTGGATAATTCAGAAAAAAGTACCAAAAACAAATTATGATGTGCTTCATTGATTATAGAAAGGCCTTTGATTGTGTCAATCATATCAAGCTGTGGAAAGTGCCCAGAAAAATTGGAATCCAAGAATATCTTATTGTCCTCATGATAAACAAATATATATAGGCCAGGAAGCCACAGTATGGACAGAACATGTTGAAACAAACTGGCTCCAGATTGGCAAAGGAGTGTGACATGATTGCACAGTACACTCTCCCCTTATTTATTCAACCTATATGCTGAGCATATACTAAGGAATGTTGTATTAGAAAACACTAAGTATGATTTTACAACTGGAGGAAGACAACAACAAACTTAGACTAGATTGTAAAAGATAAGGATACTTCAGTAACAAAGAAAGTTAGAATAATTAGAACAATTCTATGGTACTATGTTGCTTTGGACAGTGAGATGGACAGCTTATAAATTTAATAAAATAAAATGAAGACTGGCATTGAAAAAGAGTCAGAGAAAAGGATGGATGCTTTTGGATAATGGAGGTGGAGATGGTTCCTAAGAAAACATGGACTGCAAGCAGCCAATCAATAAGTCATGGGTCAAATAAAGGCCTATTGCTGTCTTCGAGGCAATGATCAGCAATAATCAGCAGAAAGATATATAATCGGCAAGATGATAGACTAGGAAAAAAGTGATCATAGTTAACTATATCAAAGGAATAAAAGGGGAACAAAAGGGCTGCAATATTCTTTTGATCTGAAGGCAAATAGAGGTTAAGGTTCTAGCAAGAGTGCAGAGACGAGGAACAAAAATGATTAGAGCTCTCAAGGCGAAATTGTATAATGAATGATTGCAGAAACTAGGTATGTTTAGTCTAATAAAGAGAAGGATTGGGGTGTCATGATAGCAGTCCTCCAATATTTAAGGGGCTATCACAGAGAAGAGGGGGGGTCAACCTATTGTCCAAACACTTGAGGGCAAGACAAGAAGTAATGGATGGAACATTATGAAAAAAAATCCAACCGAGAATTAAGGAGAAATTTCCTGACAATGAGAACAATTAATTATTGGAATGGCTTGCCTCCAGAGATTGTGGGTGTACTCCACCATTGGAGATTTTCAAAAAGTCATTGGCCACTTGTCCAGAAAGGTAAAGGAGCTCCTGCTCAAGCAGGGAATTGAATTAGAAAAACTCCAAGGTCCCCTCTTTTTTCTGTTATTCTGTTAAAGTCTGTGTGGAAACATGTAGCCCCTGTCAGCAACCCCTTAAATCAAATGCATCTTTTCCTGGGGCCACGCTGCAGGTAGAAAGATTTACCCGATTTTGGGTAAAGATGGCACTGCTTCAAAGGAGTTTAGAGCACTTATGCAGTGCTTTTTTTGTAAAAAAAAAAAAAAAAAAAAGGTGCCGGAATTCACATCTTGTTAATCTTTTATTTAAAAAATTATATATTCAGTTCTTAACATAAATTTAATTTATTGTATTTAAGGCAAATGTTCATAGTAAATTCCAAAAATTTTGTCCAATTCTCATCCGGCAAATCTTCCCGACTCCTTTCCTTGCTGTTAGTATCTATGGCTGAATTTCGTTCTCTGAGTAACCACAGATCAACATAGTTTGAAGGATCGAAAAGTCTCAGAGGTGGTCCGATAAGTTTGATGAACAAAAGTGCTTAAATTGTCTTAATCTTCAACGAAGCTCTTGTTAGGATGGGCAATTAGAGTCATCTGTGAAAACCCACATTCACATTCACTTGAAGAAATGGGAGTCTGTATCAAATGCAACAGTTTTTCTGGATATGTCTTTTTGAGAATGTATTCACAGAATCCACGAATCATTTCTCTTTCATTTAGTTGCAGTCTGGTTGACAAGTTTCTAATTTCTACTTCTCCAAATGTCAGTTGAGTATTAACATCTTCAGGCCAATGTTTTTGATCAAGTATGCGAGAGCTATACGCCAACTCATTGTCTTTGCTATCAAGCAATCTTTTTCGATTGACTCTTTCAATTTTGTATAAAATGTACTTGGGTCAATGGGAGGATCCTTTTTTTAATCTTTTTCGTGAAGTAAAACTCCACGAAAGCGAAGATCACGTACAGCAGCAACAGCGCATTTATAATAGGGCCCAAAGTTCTGTCTTCTTTCTTCAAAAACTTGGTAACAAAAGTGTTTCTCGGGGGGGCAGCGCATGCTGCCTCCAAGGGATGCCTCCCTCCCCTCAGGAGACAACAGCCGAGTTTGGCAGGCGCAAGCACACAAGTTGTGCCCCGGGACTAACTACCCGCTGTTCCCCTGTTAGGAGCAGCAGAAGACAGGGGTCTTTTCCCCAAAGCAGCATGAGCTGAGTGAAAAGCCACCTTCACTAGTATTTCTGTGGAAGTTGAAAATCTGTCGGAAAAAAGGTGCTGGAATGCTGTTCCATACATTCTATGACAAAAAAAGACCTGGTCTTACGTGAGCACCAACTGCATGGTCTGAAATGCCTTTTTGCTTTTGAAACCAAGGCACTGCACAGCCTGGAAAAACAATGGATAAGGCTGATAAATAGTATCAATGTGATTGATCAAAAGTCCTTAGAATAGTTATGCATTGTTGTTAATTTAAAAAAAAACAGGCAATGATAGTAACCATTACAACACCAGACTCAGTGACACCTACTGTATTTGTAACTTTTGAGCTGCCCTAATGCAGTTTAGTATTTAAGGTTTCAACCTCAAGGTGGCAGCAAACATTGTTTTTCTCAAATAAGAAGCTGAGCATATATGTATCCAGGGAGTGTCTTGCTTTTGTGCTACCTGTACACATTGGAAATAGTTCTTCAGATATTACAATCGAAAGTTGCCTTCTGGATCCCAAATCTTTTCAAACTTCGAGGAATTTGATCCAAACAAATAGTTTTATCCCAGGCTGGAGACCCTTTGCCTATCTTGCTATGTATTGTCTATCCTGATTAGCAGTTCCTTTTGTTTCCCCCTTGTTAAATATTACATTTCAAGATCAAACATTAAAATATAAAGTAACCTAAAAGGGAGGTGGGAGAATGGAATAACAATACAAAGTAAAAGCGACAGAAAAAAAATACAGCAACCAAATTTCTAACAAAGATGACCTCTGACTTTCTTTTAGTTCAGAGAAAATACAGCAACCTCTCTAAATGTAAACAGATGATATTAATAAAGTCCTGATAATCAACCCTCTAAGAGGCCAATGTTCTTAAAATACTCTTCTCTTAACTTTAACAGATATGAAACTGTCAATTATATATAAAACTTTATATTTAAAAAACTACAATACAAGTGGTCCTCGACTTACAACCACAATTGAGCCCAAAATTTCTGTTGCTAAGCGAGACAGTGGTTAAATGAGTTTTGCCCCATTTTTTTTTACCTTTCTTGCCACATTTGTTAAGTTAATCTCTGGAGTTGTTAAGTTAGTAACACGGTTGTTAAGTGAGTCTGGCTTCCCCATTGGCTGTGCTTGTCGCAAAAGGGGGATCACATGACATCAGGACACAGCAACCGTCATAACTGTGAATCAGTTGCCAAGTGTCTGAATTTTGATCATGTGACCCTGGAGATGCTGCAACAGTCGTAAAAAATGGTTATAAGTCCCTGTTCAGTGCCGTTGTAACTTTAAACAATCACTAAACAAACTGTTGTAAGTTGAGGACTACCTGTATACTTTTTGGCTGCTTTCCTGCAAAGGAATTCCCCTGCCCCAAAGTTTTAGAAAGGAAGTTTTCCCAGCCCAGTCAGAGGTGGAGTTAAATCTGGGGTCTTCTGCATGGAAAAGCATTCATTACTTAGTTTCATTAAAACTTAGAACATGTGAGAATCTTTAATCTTTTGAAGAAATCCAACGCACTCTCTGCTTCTTCAGATCATATAACTAAAAATCATTAACTCTTTCCACATTTTCTTGCATGACCTGACTTTCAATTACTTAACTATCTTAATCCAGGCTTGTGCTTAAAGCTGATACTGCTGAGGCTCTGCAGTCTACTCGTATATACTTGTCCCATATTTTAACATTTTCTTCCATCTTTTTAACCTTTAGAATCATCTTTTTACCATAGTACTATTTCTGTTTTAACTTTTAGAAATTTATTAAAAGCAGTTTGTTCATTTTTAGTGAATTGCGTCCCGCTTTTTGGTGGTGAAGTGGCTGGACAGGAATTTTATGCATAAATAGGGTTGTATTTTAACAGAGTCGTGATGAGTATCGATGTTATTTCAAAAGTTATATTCCTTGTTTCCAGGATTTCATTGCAATTTCTTTTATGGAGGCTGATGCCGAAACAAGGACACTGGCATATCGGACCGATTCCACGACTCATCAGCTGATTCAGCAGTGCGCTGAGAAATTTGAAGTCTTAAAGCCCCAGGACTATGGGCTGTTTGTTCAAGTGGATAACAAAACTATGCAGATGGATGATGATGCTCTCCCTCATCAGATCAAATCCCATCTCTTGAATAAAGAGCCCAGGCTGACTTTCTGCTTTATTTATAAACAACTTGGTGGAGAAGAGTCACCAGTTCCCGTTATCAAGGACACAGATGCCTTGTAGCAGCAAGGCTGATCTCCTGAAGCAAACTTGGTTTAGATGTTTCTTCTTCCAAACCATCTCTTCCATCAGCAGAAGCTCTCCAAAATGCAGTTTCTGATCTGGATGGTGACATGGATAACGTGTGCAATCCTCCTCTGGGGCATTTACTTGACAGAATTCATTTGCAGTCATAAATGGAATATCCAAGGAAAGTTCATTCTTGGAAGGGAAAAAAAAAACTTGAATAGTAGTTTAGCGCCTCAATCCATGAATGAATGAGGTAGCGTTAATGCCAGATTCCCTGGCACAAAGTAAATAGCCTTGAAGTTATGGACCTCCTGGCAGATTGTTAGACATTGTAGCATCTTCTCCTCAGGGTTTATGGAGATTCTCAGTCATCCAGATCCAATGTTTTTTCAAGAGGCAACTGGACTTTTTTGTTTTTCTTTGAAGATGTTTCACTTTCTGACAGCTGAAGAAGCTTCGTGGATGAGAAGCGAAACATCTTCAAAGAAAAAAAAGGAAGTCCAGTTGCCTCTTCAAAAAGCACCTTTGGGATCTCCTCAGTGTATAACAGAAAGGGCGCAAGTCATTTTTGATGGCTATCACAGAAAATCCAAATGTATTGGATTTTCCTTTAGTAGTACAAAAATTAATAATGAATTAAGCAGCTCAGAGTGATTAGATTCTCACATATCCCGCCTGAGATGGCCCACAATTCCCATCTAATGATAAACTATCATGGGATGCTGTAGATGTCTGTGCACTTACATAAAATCTCAGTGTATCAATATAGTATCTACTGATATTAAGAAAAAAAATCTGAGTGACCGTCTCTCATATTCTATGTCTTTGTTATATTCTCCAGTTGCACATATTGTATCACAGCCAATTCACACCCATCTTTATATTTCCAGGTACAAAATAATTTGCCGTGAAGATAAAATTGACAATCAAGAATCTGGCCATAAATTAATGTAGAAATGTTTTCATTCCATGTCTCCTCCAAAATTCATCATTATTGTTCATAAATTCATTCTCAGGAATGTAACAGAAAGCAATTTTGCATCAATAATTTGCTTCTTCAAGGAGAAGAACTATATGCCCAAAATAGAAAGTTTACCTTTGCATGCCAAACCCTCTATATAAGACTGACAACGATACCTGTTAAAAACTAGGGTGAACTGTTGGCAGTCAGATCAGATGTGTGTGCCAGAGTCTAATTCTGCATAAAAAGAGATGACAAGAGTGGAGAGGGTCAGGTAAAAGAACATTAATACAACAAAAGTTTTCACAAATCACAGACCACTTCATTTATTTGTGTCTTTAAGCTGCCATAGGATTTCTCATAGTTGTTATGATAGGGACTATGAAAAAACAGTTGACTTGAGGAATGGTTGTTTTCTTCTACTGTTGGTCCTCTGTAGAGCTCTCCACAACAATACAAAGTCAAACATACACAACCTGGCCATGAGAAGCTGAACCTTGTGTGTTAGCACATGAGGATGGTAGTTTTCGCATATGAGTTTGTGATGCATTATCTGGCATCAAGTAATGCTGATTTATACAGCCTATCTATCTACAGGCATTCCTTGTTTAAGGACTACTCATTCAGCAATAATTCGAAATTGTGATATTGCTGAATGAATTGTACTTGCAACTGGTCCTTGAAGTTTTGATACTGATCTGAGCATTTGGCAACTTGTTTGCATTTATGATGGTTGCAGCATCTTACAGTCGTGTGGTCACCATTTGCAACCTCCCTTGTTGACTTCCCACAAGCAAAGTCAGTGGGGAAGCTGGCAGGGAATGTTGCAAGTCACTGTGGTCATTTTCACACCTCTCCCACCTAGTTCCCATTCACCATCCCCCATCCAGCAGCCTCCCTGCACTTGCACTGTGCCTTGTGGGCCACTTACATGCCCTCCCCTTTCAGGTCTATTTGGTCTATTTGTGAGGCCCCTGGGACTCACTTAGCAAGTTGCAATCCTCATCAAACAATAACTCAGGGCAGTGCCAGGATTGCCATCACATGATGTCACACTCAGCAATAAAAATTATGGTCCCATTTGCTGCTGTTAACCAAGGAATATCTATAACTATCTGCCTGCCTGTCTATCTTGGTTGGCATCCAATTTTGGCAGTTGTTCGGCTTACCATTGATTAGTTAAGATGCTAAACTGCTCTGGCAGAGCCTGAAATCAATTGTTTCATTAGGAAGCTCTGCTGGACTGACATATTGACGTCTCAGTGTAAGAGGCCTTTTTTGCCACACAAAAAGTGTACCTTCCAGTGATGTATTATTTCTTTTAAACCTGATATTGAGAAATGTGTCATCCTTACCATAGCATTTCATGAGACCTGTGCGCTTCTAAGAAGACCTTCAGAAATCTATTTATTTTCTTGATTTGTACTGTGTATTTTAAGGCAATGAAACCATGTTAACAAAGATTTTGGAGTGGAAAGGCTTTACTCACCCAGATAGCCTCACTTGTCCTCTTATATCAGTCTGGTAAAGCAGCTTAGAAGGTCACAAGATAATCTTTTGTACTCAAGGTCTGGAAAAGATGTGGCTACTTGTATGGACTATCTTATCTCTTCAAATAATTCTGTATTATTGTGTGAGTTTATAAGATAAATCATGTGTTGTCTGAAGACATTCCTCCTCCCAGATATGCTTGATTTCTATCATTCTCAACTTTGCCATTAAAAAGATATAAATTTTCTTTAAATATTCCTTAGTACCAGCAAATAATTTTGGGGTTGACTATAAATGTATAAAATGTTGAGATCACCTTACATAATGACTGGCTGTGAAAACTGGCAAGCCAAGGTAACTCACAAAATGCTCATTTTCCAGAAGACAAAGTTAATGAGGTTGATTCTTGTAATCCCATAGGACAGTGGTGGGATTCAAATATGTGAACAAATGGTTCTCTGTGTGTGGATGCCACTTCCGGAAGTCCATTCTGGGCCTGAGCAACAACCGGTTCTGCCGAAGTGGTGCGAACTGGCTGAATCCCACCACTGCCATAGGATGTTTTGATCCCACAGTTCTCTTTCTCATTTTTATTTTTCTGGACAAGTGGGCACATTTTCAAACTAGGCAACATGGCAGCTTTCCATTTATTTATGGAATCTTTTTAACAAGTTAGGGATGGGAAGCATAGTAGGATATTAAGGGAAATATCCTTAGGATGAGTGATATCTAGAGCTACCAAGCTATCAATCCCTGGGCCCTAGATTTGAAGTGTAATCTAAGGGAACAAAAACAATCTTGGACTTCAAACAGAATGAACAGGTAGGAGTCCTAACCAAGAGGAGAGGAGAGGGGAGAGGAAAGGAGCAATCAAGAAGAGCTAGTCCAAAGCACTGTATCCAGCTGCATGAACACCATGTACCATAGCTTCATGCCCAAATTGATTGCTGGGGGTCAGTCTTAGAACAGCTCAAACTCTGCTTGGACTAAACAATCTATAACCTGGCCTGGCTTCTGTATGAGTCACAGTAGGGAAGTGAGTGGAAACTGAACACCAAGTCTTTCTCTTTTCTTCATGTGATGAGCTTATGCCAAGATAATCTTTTCGGGTCATGGGAAATCACTTTGACTGACATAATGTTTCTAGATCCAACTCTGTGCTTTCAGACAGTATAGCAATTCTCTTTGTTTTTGCTTGGAAATAAAAGCAAGATAGGTTCTCGTAGAATAGGAAAAATATAAACTAACCAAGAGGATAAGGCTGTGATAATTTGTTGTACTTTATAGAGGACAATTAATTTGAAGAGGTCTCAGTTTTATTTGAAATGCTCTGTTTAAATGTCTATTTAGTCCAAGGGCAATTTAAAGGTCAGGAACCAGGATCAATTTTTTTAAAAAATGCCTTGAAGCTGGCCATTCGCAGCTTCAAGCATTTAGACTTGGAGGGGCCGTTTTTGGGAGTCCAAGGGCCACATTCAAATTTTTGAGGGTGAAGGCTGTAAACTGGGGCTACATCACATGTGTTTGGAACAGTTTTGAAGAGAGGCTTATGTCCTTTGTTTTGCTAACTGTAAACCTATGTTAGAGCTTTAAGTATAGTTTTTCAGTGTTTCCTAATTTAAAATTGTGAGAAAATGAGCCTTCAGTTTCCAAGAGTCATGGTGAGATGGTTTCCAATGGCCTCACAAGGAGATTTTAAGACCCAGAGGTTACTTATCTTTGATTTAGAAAGTACAATGAGAAGGTATACAGTATCTTGTTATGCTGATATCTGTTAGCTTTCTTTGTTGTTGTTCAGTTGCTTAGTTGTGTCTCTTTGTGACCCCAAAGATCATAGCACGCCAGACACCTCTGCTCTCCACTGTCTCCTGGAGTTTGCCAAATTCATGTTCATTGTGTCAATCAATGATCTAACCATCATCCGTCTGCCTTCCCCTTCTCTTTTTGCCTTCAATTTTTTCCAACATCCCAACAAAAATAGCTTTCTATTTAGCTTTATTATACTTTAACATTTATGCATACCCACATAAATCAGCATGTGCAAATTGTATGCAAATATGTATCTTTTGTAAATTGTCATAAAGGGAAAATCTCTGACACAAGCTTAAGGTGTTTCAAGATGTCTATCAAATGAAGAAGGCTATGAAATTTTCTGTAGACCAGAACTAAGGCTGCCCCAGTCTCAGGCAGCCCCCAAAAGCTTTAAGTGAGGTTGTAAGACAGCGGTCCCCAACCTTTCCAGCTTGGCGGCCCTGCCCAGTGTGTGTGGGGGGGGAGGCCGCATGTTGAGTAGCAAACACACATGGATGCACAGCTCCATTTGTATGAGCATGAGCAGAGGGCACTTGGGCTCATGCACAAAGGTCCACTTGCACAAGTGGAGCTTCGTATGTGCAGTTGCCCACCGCTCACACGAGTGAAGCTTCACGCATGCACACTTGCCCATCTCTCCCACAACTGGTTTCAAACAGGCCACGGTACGGTAAGGGCCCCCTCTTCTAAGAGATTTCAAAACGTTAGCAAATATCATTTTTATAAGACAAAAAAGAGAAGACTATTACATCC